CTGACATGGTATTTTTAGTTCTCTTTTATAAATCCAGGATTTGTTGTTGTTGTTGTTGTTGTATAAACTGAGTGAGCATCATCAAATGCTAGCACTATCTTTCCACAGCACAGCACAAACTGCTGATGGAGGAGCCCTTGACTGCTTTCCTCCATTACCACCACAACCCAAGTAGCACAATGGCTTAAAACAGTAGCCCTGGTTTACAACCATCCACGGAGATGCCTGGCACTGCCAAGGCCTGAATACATCTATTTCCCTGAAAAAATAACTGGGAGATGAGGCCATGAAACTAGTCGATGAATACTTAGTGACACAACATCCTGCCCTCACCCAGTCTCCTGGCAGGTGCCACTGGAAAGGCAAAGGAGAATCAGAACAGAACATGCCAGAATCAACTACGAAGTAACAAAGTACAGCTTGGGAAGGCCTCAAAAAGCTAAAGATAGGATTACCATGATCCCACAGAACTCTTCATGCTAGATCCCTGAAAAAAACGAGAACAGCTTCTCTAACAAATACAAAAAAAACATGTTCTTAACAGCATTGTTCACAATACCCAAAGGTAAAAAAAGCCCAAACATCCACTTATAGCAAAACAGATAAAATATGGTAAAATAGTTCCATGATTATTCAACTACAAAAAAGAAAAATTATAGATTGATATATACTACTACAATATGGATGAACAATGAAACATACTATACTGTAAAAAAAATAGACATAAAGGGTCAAATATCACATTCATATTAGTTAGGTGGTAGTGGTGGATACTTTTACTTCTAGCTCTTGGGAGGCAGAGGCAGGCAGGCAGATATCTTTGAGTCTGAGGCCACAGCGAGGAGTTCCAGATAGCCAGGGCTACATACAGAGAAATTCTGCCTCAAAAGACCAAAATAAAATAAAAGTTAAAAATAAAATATTTATTACCACAATAATAGCTCGCATCTATAATCCTAGCACTTGCCAAGAGTTCAAAGTCAGCCTGGGCTACAGATGAGTTTCAAGCTAGACTGAGATACAGACTGAGACTTTCCCACAAAAATGACAATAAAATAAATTATATGGATTTTAACTTCATAAATTATTAAAGAATGTTTTTAAAACTAAAATGAAACCAGGCATAGTGATGCACGCTGTTAATTCCAGCACTTGGGAGGCAGAGACAAGGGGATCTCTGTGAGTTCAAGGCCAGCCTGGTTTACATAGTGAGTTCCAGAACAGTCTGAGCTATGTGAGATCCTGTCTCAAAAGGGGAAATAAATAAATAAAAATTAAAAGAAATAAAAAATAAAATAAAAAGAACTAGGGACTGGAGAATGTAGCTCCATTGGTAGAGTTGCTTGCCTAGCATGAACAAAACCCTGGGTTCAATTCCCATTCAAGGTGTTTCAGTTGAACCTGGAAAGATAATGCTGAGAGCCTGAGTACCACATGCCTGTATTCACAATCTGAGAGTCCAGGGAGCTAGCATGGACTACACAGCAAGAACTTTTCTCAAAAGGAAAAGTATAAAATAAACAATACAGAACTTAAGACACCTGCCAAGTCAATTCCATCAACACCCAACACCCCAACAAATCCCACACATATGTGGCTGGACACTTTCAGCTTTCTACCCATTTTGAAATTCATGTCCATTTTGTATTATGCTCATTTGGCACTGACCAATTACACAATTATTGGGAGCTGTCTTAGCTACTTTTTAATTGCTATGATGAAAACACCATGGCCTAGGCAATTTATGTAAGACAGCATTTAAGCCAGCCATAGTGGTACATAACTTTAATCCGAGCACATGGGAGGCAGAGGCAGACAGATCTCTGTAAATTTGAGGGGAGCCTGGTCTACATGGAGTTCCAGGACAGTCAGAGTAACAGAGTGAAATCTATTCCAAAAAAGGAAAGAAAGAGAAGACAGGGAGGGAGGGAGGGAGGGACATTTGATTTGCAACACATGATTCTAGAGGGTTAGAGTCCATGACCATCATGGTGGAGAGCACGGCAATGGAGCAGTAGCCAAAAGCTTACATCCTTATCAGCAAACAGCGGGCAAAGAGAGCTAACAATAGGTGGGCTTCTGAACCTTAAGCCTGCCCCCCAGTGACACACTGCATCCAATAAGGCCACACCTCCTAATCTTTCCCAAACAGTTCCACCAACTGGGAATCATATATTCAAACATATGAGCCTATGGAATCCATTCTCAAACTACCACAGGACCAAGACTCATGCTTGATTCATCTCCACATGCTCTGCTTTCTGGGCTATAACTAATCAAAACAGGATCAATGCCTGTGTGAGATTTGTTTGGTTGATTTGGTTTTTTGAGACATGGCCTGACACTATATTCTAGACTGTCGAGGAACTAACTCATTATAAAGCCCAGGCTGGCCGTGAATTCACAGTGTGGTGGCTAATGCCTATGACCCCAGCATTTGGGAGGCTGAGACAAGAGGAGCATCTCAAGTTCAAGACCAGCGTGAACTATATAAGGAACTGGGAACCTAATGTAGGTAGTCAAGATCTCAAGTTGAGCCCAGTTGAGCTATACAGCAAAAACAAAACAAACTGAGTGAGAGGGTGGGGGCAGGAATGAGAGAGAGAGAGAGAGAGAGAGAGAGAGACAGAGAGAGAGACAGAGAGGGAGGAAGAGGCAGAGAGGGAGGGAAAGAGAACAAGAGGAAAATGTTAGCTGTGACTAAATGTGGCACTGGCATCTGAATGTGACCTATCAAATAGGTAAGGTAGGTGTTTGGGTTGGGGCTTCACCCCAACCCCTGGCATCGCTTTATCCAAGGAGTCTGGAATGTTCGGGTGGAAAGTTCCATTCCAAGCCCCCTCCCCTGGGAGATGCCTCAGTCCAGACTCCACTTCCAAGAAAGCCTGTCAAACGGTGGCTCCTCCTCAGAGATGCTCAAGACCATTCCTACAGGGTATTTAACCTGCTCCCCCAACACCAAACACATGGTTTTCCAGTCTTCCTTCCCAGTCTCCATCCCTGGGGTACTGGAAGGTCACCAGGAAGCGCTAATCCATTAAACTTGGGCTTTTTCTAATTCGGATTGATTTGGTCTGATTTGGACTATTGTATCGGCCGAGAGGTTTATTAGGCTGCAAAATCTTTTCAGTAGGAACACATGACACCAAAAGCAAAGTGCACTATGCAGGGACAACACACACACAAAAAAAAATATGTTAAATGTCTGAATCATTCTGGTAACATCGGCCACTACAATGATGGCATGACGAAGAAACCAAAACACACACTGTTTCATCCTTTCAAACATGGGTTTAGTTTCAATTTATGAGTCTCAGGCAACAGCAAGTCCAAAAGCAGGCATTTGATTCATGCTAGCTGACTGAATTTCTAATCCCCAATCTTTTTAAAGGAATACTAAGTTCTTTCCTACTACTCATTAACATAGTTTTCAATTTCATAATTCAAATTCATAATTCATAATTTCATAAGTTAACAATGTTTCCAAGGATTTCTAAGAGGCTAAATCACCATGAAAATTATCATTTCAACTAATACATATCATATGAATTGTTAAGTTTAAGTTTTCATGTCATGCTCTCCTAGTTGACAATACCCTTGTTATGTCATTAAACTATAATTGTGTAAATCTGCTTCAACAAACAATAACTGAACCATCAATAAACTATTATGGCTTCCATAATCCCTCGCAAAGATTGGTTTCAACATCATCATCATAAATTAGTAGAGACAGGTCCCAAATCTCCTGGTTGAAGCCATGAATTAGGTCTGCACAGTCATTCTTGCATTTAAGTGCTCAACAGTTCCAGTCTCAAGAATTTAATCACACTGTTAGGAACACCACAGGAAATCTGATCCCTTGTAAAAGGGAGGATTTGAAGCAAGATGAAAAGTCATCACAAGTCGCAGGCCTTTGAAGCCAGCACTGATTACTAATTATGATAACTAAGCATTCCACTTAAAAAATAATCAACTACATTTCGACTCTTTCTAACATTTACATTTTTCTACTCAATCCTAAGTTTCTCTCTAATTGCAAGTCAGCTTTATTCAGTTTTTAATGACAAAGAACAATGTATTAAGAAACAATTTGCTGGGTGTTATGCAAGACTGTAAATCCCAGGAGAATCAATTCAAGACCAGCCTGAGATACATGAGTCCTCTCTCTAAAAAAAAGAAGTAATCCGAATTTTAAAAGATGATTCTTAAGGCTGAGGAGAACAGGTCTAGCACTTGTCCCAAGCCCCAGAATCCACATAAAAGACAGATGGGAACAGTGGTCCAGCTGGCCAGACTATCCATTATCAGTGAGCTCTCTGCATTCAATCAAAAAACCAAGTCTCAGTATATACAAGGTAGAGGGTGATATAGATAATCATACCCTCTGTCAACTCCAGGCCTTCTGAAAACACTTGTGCACCCACACATCCGCAAACACACATGGAGAGACAAGTCACTCCAGGACCCTGGGCTAGTCCTTTAGGACAGACATCCCATATACCTAGATAACAAATGAGAATCCCTTTAAAACACAAAAACTTGGGCCTGTAAAACAGCTCAGGAAGTTTGTCACCTCAATTCGATCCCCAGAACCCACATGATGGAAGGAGATAATAGATTCCCACAAGCATGTCCAACACAGGTTTGTCTCTCTCTCTCTCTCTCTCTCTCTCTCTCTCTCTCTCTCTCTCTCTCTCTTTTTGGTTTTAAAGACAGGGTTTCTCTGCATAACAGTCCTGGCTGTCCTGGAACTCAATTTGCAGACCACACTGGCCTAGAACTCACTGAGATCCTCCTGCCTCTGCCTCCCAAGTGCTAGAATTAAAAGCGTGTATTGCAGAAAAAAATAAAAATTTATAAAAATAAAATTTTTAGAAGTAAAATAAATACCTGGCCACAGTAACACAGATATACCTTCTGACAGCAGAGGCAGATAGATCTCTGTGAATTACAGGCCAGTGAAGGGTACACAGTGAGACCATGTCTCAAAAAATTAAATAGTGCTCGCTTCAGCAGTACATATACTAAAATTGGAACGATACAGAGAAGATTATCATGGCCCCTGCACAAGGATGACACGCAAATTCATGGAAAAAAAATTAAATAAATAAAACAGAAAACAAATGTCAAGAGAACTATAAATCAACTTTTGAAAGTGGCGGTATATACCCACAGGAAACATACTCGGATCCTCCTGCCTCAGGTTCTGAAGCTGGAACCAGTCTCTAACTCAAAGTTGCACTTCACATTCATAATATGTGCCTTAGTTAGGGCATGGTACACTAAGAGGATGGAAGCTGGGAGCCAGGCATGATGGTCTATTCATTCCTCTAAGTTGGTTGGGACTGAGGGTGTAACTCAGTGATAGAATACTTACCTAGCTTGGAAGTGGCTCTGAGACAGACACTCACCACCACCCAAACCAAAATTAAATACATAGCAAGGAAAGGAGGAAATTCTCTTTGGTTATAAAGTTTTCAAGCTGAGTGGTAGTGGCACATGCCTTTAATCCCAGCACTTGGGAGGCAGAGACAGGCAGATTTTTGTGAGTTTGAGGCCAGCCTGGTCTACAAGAGCTAGTTCCAGGACAGGCTCCAAAACTACAGCGAAACCCTGTCTCAAAAAACAAAAAAAAAAAAAAAAAAAAAAAAAAGTATTTAAAAAGAGGCTTCAGAAATCTTATTCCACAAGTTGGTGTGACTCAATATTAGAAGTGGGACATGGTGATACACACCTTTAGTCCCAACACTCAGAGCACAGACAGGCAGATCTGAGTTCAAGGTCAGCCTGATCTACTGAGTGAGTTCCAGGACAATCAGGACTACATAGAGAAACTTTCTCAAAAAATGAAACAAAGAAGTTAAAAAAATAAGAAGTATATGAAAGTTTGCAGACCAGTTTCCACTTTGCTAGCTACCTAAACTGTGGGAATATTGGGGATGTTAGTAAATCAATTTATGTCTCAGGTTCTCACGTGTAAAAATGAGACTACAAGCCTGTTTTACAGAACTATTAAGAGGAATCACTGAGCTAAGAGATACGAAAGAAGCATGGACAGCAGCAAACCCATAGCAGGAGCACAATAAAACACTAGCTCATAAAAGGGAAAAGGGTAACACAGTCAACTGGAGGCCTGTAAGTCTAATCTGGCTGCACTTCTGCCTACATGACCATCTTTCCTAAGAGACCAGAGAAGGCAGCACCTGGCCCTGAGCTGTAGCTGCAGATGTGCAGAAATTCAAGACAGGGAACAGAAAAATGTGAAGAAAAGCAAGCATAAATTTGCAGTGGCAAGCTGGGGTCAAAGAGTGTTTTCCACAGTTACACATCTTAGAAAGTCAGTAAAGATTTCAGGAGCTAGCACTCCACAGAAAAACAACTTGTGACCTCAGGGTGAGTAGGAAATATTCTTTAAAATAAGACACAAAGGCACTACCCATAAAGACAGGACCAATAAGTCTGACTCCATTAAAATTAAGAACTTCAGTTCATTGAAAGACATCATAAAGAGAGTGAAAAGGAAAGTCATACATTGAAAAGGTATTTGTGACATACACACAGGAAAAAGGACTTGTATTCACCATAAATAAAGAACTTCCAGGTCAATGTAGTGGCAAAGAATAATGGTACTTGCCATGAATCATGCTAAGCCTGACTTGAGCTCCACCCCAGGGACTATATTGTATTGTGGAAGGAGAACTGACTCCCACAAGTTGTTCTCTGACCTCCACACACATGAACCATGGTGCATGAACCCACATGCACACAAACAAAATAAATAAATGTAAACAAATTGTCAAAGAACAACATCTAAAAAAATAACTTCTAAGTAATAATAAAAGACTCAGTTCCAAAGAGGGGATGGAGTGGGAACTTTCCAAATGGGGAAAGTCCAATACTAATACATGAAAAGCTGTTCAATCTGCTTACTACTCAAAATTTAGACTCGCTAAAATTTTAAAAGCTAAGCTGGGCAGCATGGTGCATACCTTTAATCCCAGCACTCAAGAGGCAGAGGCAGGTGAATCTCTGTGAATTCGAGGCCAGCCTGGTCTACAAATCGAGTTCCGTGACAACCAGAGCTATTACATAGAGATACCTTGTCTCAAACCCCAAGTAAGGGGAGCAGAAAAAGGGGAAAGGGAGAACTGGGGTTAGTATGTAAAAACAAAAACAAATATAATAACTTGTCAAACTTGCTCCACCCACCCTATTTACTTTCTATTCACATGTCTTACCTCTGACACCTGTGCTCACAAGTAGTCCATTAGCCCAGAAAACAAAATATAGTCACTAAACATCTATCCAGAGACCCAAATATAGCCAAAAGTCAAAAGTTCAGCTGGTCATGTCATCTAAATTCCTCCTTTAAGTTAAAACTTTCCTTCCTTATTTATTGATTTGCTCATTTAAACACAAGGTCTTACCTACCCAGGCTTGCCTCAAAAGCCAAAGCTGGCCTAGAGGTTACAGGTGCCTTACCCATTCCTTCTTAAAAACAACTCAAATTCATTGTGGTCCATGTGTAATTAATTTATAATAAGAAGCAATCAAATGTTTTATTTCAGAGTTACATCAGAAAGTTTAGGATATACTAGCATGAGAGGAAGGACGTACTTTCTAAAAATACAATTTGTTGAGTTCAACCCATGGTTTAGATTGCCTGTCATCCCAGCAATGGAAGGTGGAGACAGGCAGCCTCAAGAGACTCACTGGCAGATCAGCCAGCCTAGCAAAAATGGCCAGCTTTTAGTTCAAAGAGAACCTACATGGAGACAAGAGCTAGAGGAAGGGATAGTGAGGGATAGTGAAGACACTCTATGTCCTGCCCTGTCCTCTGAACGTGAGCACACTTGTGTATGTACCACATGCACAGAATGTGTATGCATACCTTTATGTGTGTGTGTACACTCTTTATTAGAATACAAAAAGCTAAAACTATGCCAGCACAACTAAGTTCCATTCGCTACGTCTCCCTCTTGGCCATACAGTTCTGCATGTAAACTCTCTCTACCTTGAATTCCCGGTGTACTTGGCTCACGTCTGTAATTCTTTACCACTGCCCCTTTATAACCTCTACTGCTCTCCCCTGACAACACTCTTCCCAACTGCAGGTATTCAACTCCTCCATGGAGAATAGAAGGTCATGAATCTGCCCTTCTGCATTTACCCTGCCAGCTCCCATCACTCCCCAAACCAAAGTGCTACCAAATTCAAAAATACCAAATGTCCTTGCCCAAGGTAGCCAGCCTCCAGGTCTCTTCCTAGGACACTCTGTGCTTTTCCAGTTCCTGCCGCACCTTCAAGACTTGGCTCAAGTTTACTCCATACAACCCTAGCCTATCAAATGAGAGTTTCCAACACCTTCCTTGGCTCAGTCCATCACACCCACCCAGACCTCTTACCCAGTCCTGCCCACTTTCTTCACAGTCGCAGACCTTCCCCAATCCTCTGAATTACCTGTCCCGATAAGATGATCTTCTACTAACATAGCTTTGCAAATTAAAAGCAATCTCTCTCCCATACCCTCCCCATTAGTCTTTCCTGCTACCTTAACATCATCTTTGAGAAAGCCTGCCAAACTTAACTATCCCATCCTTCTGTTTTCGTAATATTTCATTACGAGCCAGCAAACCTCTAGCCTATCCCAACATGAGGATTCAGCCTAATTCTTCTTTCCGATCACAGCAATCGTACCTGCCTCATGAGGCAAGCCCGGCCCCCAGTCCAACACCCACTCAACATGCTCTCTCAACTCCACATCTACCACACCCAAACTCATCCTTAGCGTGTTCCCAATTAACTGCAAAGTCGCCGGTCTGCAGCACAGCACCAGCCCTTCACACAACCCTAGGTCCCCTTCCCACACCAAAATCTCGGCCCTCCCTACTCGGCCGGCTTCCACACCTCGTTTCCCAGCCCGTCTTCCATTCTCCAATCCTGCCTAGGCCCTCGTCTGACCCCACTCCGGAGCCTACCAGTTACCTCACGCACAGAAATCCCCTCCCAGCCCCCTCCTTCCCATAGCTCAGCCCCGCCCTACTCGGCCTTGCCCCGCCCTCCACTAGTGAGCCCCGCCCCTTGCCCCGGAGGCTCGGCCAGGGGCGGAGCCTATTCCCCCCCTCCCCCCGCCCCCTACCGTCACGCTCAGGGGCAGCCTGACCCCAAGCGGCCCCGCGGTGACCCTCGCGCAGAGGCCTGTGGGAGGGGCGTCGCGGGCTCCCAGCACCCCCTCCCGTCGGTCCCCCGCCCGCCCAGTCTCCTCCCCCTGGGAACGTGCGGGGTGGGTGACAGACCTGGCCGCGCGCCACCACCACCGCGCCTGCCGGGGGCGCTGCCGCTGCCTGAGAAAAAAGCCGCGGCTGCCGCCTGGAGGAGGTGCCGTCGACCCCGCCACCGCTGCCGCCGCCGCCAGGGGTAGGAGCTAAGCCGCCGCCATTTTGTGTCCCCCTGTTGTTGTCGTTGACATGAATCCGACATGACACTGATTACAGCCCAATGGAGTCTCATTAAACCCAAGCCGCGGCCCCGCCCCGGCGCCGTTCCATTGGACGGGACCGCGAACACTTAAGGCCAACCGTTGGCCTACAGATCTGTCCGTCACCCGCTCACTAAGCACTCTGCCCCCCATTGGGGCAAGTTCCTGCCGGTCATCTCGCCTCCACATAGACACACCTCTCGACCCATCACCCCCCCAACACCTCCGGCACCACCCCGGGGGAGGGTCGGCTGCCAGTACCAATCAACAGACCGCGGGGCCCGCCTCTTCCGGGCACCTATTGGTCCAGCCCTTTTTCTCGCTCGCAGACACCGCGCCACCTCTACTTCCACCTGCCCGCCCCCTCTCCCTCTAGAAATGGATTGGATCTCGGCGCAGCAGAGGCGCTTGGCCTTATTGGCTGTGGACGACGCCAATCAGAAGCCTTTTTTCCTCTCCCCCTCCCCCACTCAACCCCAAAGCCCCTAGCCCGCAGCTAAAGTTTGTGTGAGAGCTGATCGCTGGCGGCGGCCGCAGGATTTAGGGGTGGGCGCAGGCGGGCGCGCGCGGGCGGGCACGCGAAGTTAAAATTCGAGGTTCTCAGTCGCCAGCTCCCGCGGAGGAACGCG